ATGTAAAAAAATATATATATATATATATATATATACATGCACGTGCATATTTAGAGCCCTGATCTTCCGCTCAACCTTAACCGTGCAAGCGGACACATTATTCGCATAGAATGGATATGATGAGCTCGGGCACATGCCGACCAGGGGGCGTGATTATTGCATCCAGTTCTCAATGTATCTTGTGCATTCTTGAAATGTGCCCGGGAAATGCGTGCTCAACCTATACTCAAGTACGACCACTTCAACCTTGCCTGAGACTGAACAGACACTGCCCGAATTCAGCAATAAGCAGAAACGCGGCACCCTTGGTTTACAATCTCGCGCCGACCATGATAAGTCCTGCAGTCTCCCGGAACACCGAGGCGCTTTGCGGTGTTTGGTGCCTTTGCCTGGTGCCTGCCTACTCTGCGCCTTGGATGGTCGGCAGCTTATCCAGCCCTAACCCTCCAGGTACCTACTATATAGGGCCCAGTACCCTATATAGTAGGTACCTGGGGGTTAGGGCAAACCAACCTGCCGGAAAGACAAGTGCCAGAGACACTCAATGTCTTCGCCTGTGCGTCCTTCATAAATCAGCCCGTCTTGGGGCAGTAGCCCCAAACTCTGAACCCTGACCCCAAAACCCAAAACCCTCGCTCGTAGGGAATGCAAAGGGATCGGAAAGCCGAGGCCGGAGAACTGAAAGAGGGCTCGCCGGGATCATTGGCGCTCTACAGCTTGCTCCAGACCCAGCAAGGGGTTGCGGGGTCAGGTTTTGAGTGTAATGATTCAGCGAAGTTTGGGGTGGTTGTGGCTTCGGATTTCGCTACGAAGGCCACGGGGCGGAGTCGAGAAAGATTCGCAATCTCTAGCTCTGACATGCAAGGTGCTCCCTGCAGATTGGCATTTGCTTGTCACTTTCCCTTTCTCGCTATCTGTCCGTCTTGTTCGCAGAGCCCAACTACAAGAATCTCGCACACGATGTTTTCATCCAAGTACCATGCAGCATGCATAGCCGTATAGCTACATGACCATTGTTGCTAGTATCTCCCCCGTGGCTTGGTGTTTGGTTGGCCGCGCATTTTATATGAGATGGCTCTCGAGCATTATCTCCATTCATGTCTGCTCGTGACGGTAGGCTGTTTTGCCTTGCACACCCATGTCACCAAGCTTTGCACAGACAACTGGTCCTGCATCATCCAAGTCCCCAAGCCTAGAACTACGGCGGTGCATGCCGAATTCTTCTGAGGTCGAACGTGCCTGCGGGCAGCATCAGGTGAGCTGCATCGGGTTATGTTTTTCATCCAGGGTAGAATATAGTGGCCTGAATAATTACCTAGTATCGTTTCGGGGGTTCCTTATTGTAACTATAAGTATAGTATACCCCAGCTCCTTTTTTGATTTAGCCAATTATATATTAAGGAGTTTATAAGGCATCCCCAAAAAGGAAGTACAATGGAGACTATACGCAAAACCCTAAACCCTACGTTACTACGGTTCCGGCTTAAAAAAAACAGGTCCAGAGTCGGCACAGCCTCGTTCGGGGTTTTGGGGGTTTAGGGTTTTGGGTGTAGGGTTGGGGGTTTAGGGTTTAGGGTTTGGAGTTTCAATGCTCATCCCTGCTTTGGGAGGCTGTGGCTGGTCGTGCCGACGGCCTATCTTTGCAACCTAGCGCTTTGTGGATTGCTGTGGAAGGATAGCCGTGCTGGGGGAGATACGGGGCATGGGGAAAGAGGGATTTGAGCTTGACGGAAGGGCTCGCCAGTCATAAAGCCACGTCCACCTATCCACTCACCCGCGTTGTTGCCGAATACGCGGCCCGTCCAAGAGGTTTTTGATTGTGACCATGAAATGGCGACTACTCTGCCAGCAGTACTAATTCTTCGTGTTCTTCTACTTCTGCTTCCTTCTGCTTCTACCAGAACTACCACCGCTACTACTACTACTACTACTACTACTACTACTACTACTGCTACTACTACTACTACTGCTACTACTACTACTACTAATAATAATAATAACAACAACAACTACTACTACT